TTGGGGCAAGTGAATGAGTGGTAGTTGAAAAGCAGTAAAAGAGACAGCTAAGGAATGGCCAGAGGAAGAGAAGAAAAAAAGAGGGAAACAGTGACCAGAAATAAAAAAAGAGATGTGGGTGGCAGGGTTATAAACAGTAAATGTCTCAGAGAAATTAAGATAAAATTCATAGGATTAGGCAATTGGGAGGTCACAGGCAACCTGTACAGAAAGAGATAATTAAGTGTTTTTATTTGAAATTAATTTTAAGATGATTGGGTTCTGATAAGAGTTATCAGAATAGCCAGGCTCGGTGGCTCAGCCTGTAATCCCAGCACTTTGGGAGGCTGAAGTGAGTGAATTGCCTGAGCCCACAGGTTCGAGACCCGCCTGGACAACTTGGCAAAACCTCATCTCTACAATAAGTCAAAAATTAGCCGGGTGTGGTAGCACACGCCTGTAGTTCCAGCTACTTGGAAGGCTGAGGAGGAAGAATCGCCGGAGCCCAGCAGGTCGAGGCTGCAGTGGCTGGGAGCAGCCACTGCACTCCAGTCTGGATGACAGAGTGAGACTCCAACTCAAAAAAAAAAAAAAAAAAGAGTTATCAGAAGGCTGGACACAGTGGCTCACGCCTATAATCCCAGCACTTTGAAAGGCCAAGGTGAGAGAATTTCCTGAGCCCACGGGTTTGACACCAGCCCGGGCAATTTGGCGAGCCCTCACATCTACAATAAAATCAAAAAATTAGCCAGGTGTGCTGGCATTGGCCGGCAGTTCAGCTACCTGGAAAGCTGAGGTGGAAGGATCACATGAGCCCAGTAAGTTAAGGCTGCAGTCACTGTGAGCATGCCACTGCACTGCAGCCTGGGCAACAGAGCAAGACTCTAACTCAAAAAAAGAACTACCAGAAGAAAAAAGAATGCCAACAAAAGAATTAAAAACAAAGTAATATTTAGGTTAGAGTTTTAAAATTTCCTACAGAGTACAAGCACACACAAACACACATATGTATCTACAGAAAAAGACTTGAAAAGCTATAAACCAAAGATGTATCTAAAAATTCTGAATAGGAGATCAGGATTAAAAGTGGTGGTCACAAGCAACTTTGGCCTGGTCACTAATTTTCAATATTCTTTATCAGGACAATTTATTCATCAATATTTGATAAATATCAAATATTCATCTAATTATTCGTTCATTTATCTTATAATTAAAAATTAACTTAAAAATAAAATTTCCTACTGTGCATGTACACTATTAAGGATACTTGGTGGCCAGGCGCCAACAGCTCACGCCTGTAATCCCAGTACTTTGGGAAACTGAGGCAGGAGGATTGCTTGAGCCCAGGAGTTCAAGACAAGCCTGGGTAACACAGCGTGACCTCATCTCTGCAAAAAAAAATTAGCCAGGCACGAGCCTGTAGTCCCAGCTACTCAGGAGGCTGAGGCAGAAGGCTCACCTGAGCCCAGGAAGTTAGGACAATGGTGAGCCATAGTTGTGCTACTGCACTCCAGTCTGGATGATAGAGACCCCGACTCACTCAAAAACAAAACAAAACAAAATCCAACTAGATATACAAATTTATAAGAACATTAGTAATCAGTCAAAAGTTGATTAGTACTGTTCATTTATTGTTTCTATAATATATCTGAATATAATTAAATCATATATAATTTTTTGGCAAGAAATTTTTCATATGGGGTTTGGAACTTTTTTATATCAATTTCATAATTAGGAATATATATTATAATTTATACTTCTGCTTCACATTTGTCATTGCTAAGCATCTGTGAAAGCATCATCTATTTCTGTTTCACAACAAGAACTAGGGAGAAAAAGCCCAGGGTAAAGACTGGTAGTATATTTACGAAACTCCACATAAAGACCTCTCTTAAAAAAAAAATCTGTTAATAAGCAAAATCCCTTCATCAAGAAACAAAAGAGAAGAATCTACTTTTCTTCTGCAAGATAATAGATTTCATGGGACCCAGATGTGGAAATACTGAATAAATTCAAGCTGATTTGAAAGGGTATCTTTGTTTTAATACTGTAAGTACATTTTTTTTTAAATCTGGATTTGGGCCTTATATAACTTACAAGTTACAGCAAGAACTTCCAGGATAAAAAGAAAATAATTTAAAAATAGAAATTAGTAAAAGTATTTCAAAGACTATTGTTTGCATTTGAAAAAAAATTTTTCCTTTGGTTAAATTAGTTTTAAAATACAGAATAACAAAAAAATGTCAGCCTCTCAATTTTTCTTGAGTAAGCATAATAAAGAGCATATCAGCACTTATACAAAATCTATTCTTACAAAATTCGCTGCAGTATTTAAAACATTTTATAATAAAAAAGTGTGGGTGTCTGTAAATAATTTGTTTGATCCTGTTCTATTTTCACCTTGTTAGCAGAGGTGAGTCCATCAAGCTATGCAGTGAATTGTTAAAATACGGACATCAAATCCCCTAAAACTTTAGATTCTGAAAACTTAAGTCTAAACAGGCAACAAAAGAATGTTCTGAAAATTATCCACTGGCATGGCATTACTTTTAAAGGGATCTAATAACAATTTAAAGTACACAATTCTTTGTGTTTCTTATGGACAATAAAACTATCATCTATAGTAATCATTTAACCAAAAATACATGACCAAAATTTTCCTTACAAGTTAATTCTTTCTAACAAGTGATATGCTTATAAAATTTACTTAGTGGTTATTTTTCAATGAGTACAAAATTTTTCACACTCAAATGTGACATGCTATTTAAAAGGAATTCTTTAATCAGTGTGCCATATCATGCCATGCACTTAAGCCTAAAGTCTGTGATGCATCAACAATAACAGCTGGCAAATTTTTAAAAAGAAAAAAAAAACCATAGCACTTTCAGTTTTGAAGCAAAAATACCACCAAATTATTTATTTTATAATGGAGTCAATGTACTTTCAATTCATACTCGGCACTAAAAAAATTGTTGAATAGGAAAACTGCATGTATGCAGGTAAATTATACTTTTCCCTGTTACTGCATTTCTCATTTCACTGTAAGTGATGTGATGCTGCTGGTTGATTTCACAGGAGCAAATGAGACCAGACTAAGGTCAGGATTTCCTTGTTAGAGGTGACGAGAAAGAGTGAAAAATGCCACAGCTTGGAATTTGGTTGGTAAATACATGCTCTATTCTAGTCTTATAAGCTTTTCAGCTAGTAAATCAAAATCCTGTTATACACCAGGATAATAATCATGACAGTTCTCTATATTTTATCTTCTTAAAATCAAAGACTCAATTCTAAAGGGTTAATAGAGGAATTACAAAGTAACTCTCTAGTTTGCATTTCCCATAATACTAAAATAAAGCTTTTTCTTTTAGTCTAGAAATTTGCTTTTTTAATACTGTGAAAAGCCTCTATGAATCTGTTTAACGTATTTATTTCTTTTCATCTATTCAATGCCACTGGGCATAACATGTAATGCAGTGCGTGTTGATATTTTGCAAAGCACCACATGACTCACTGTACCCTAATGCACTCCATTAATCCTGTTTGGACAGCTGGGTCCAGGCATTTGTTAGCTGCATTTTAATTGTTCCATCTTTCTTTTTTTTTTCTTTTTATTTATCTCTATGGCAAACTAGTCTGGAATTTAAATTGTTGGTCTTCAAAAAGTACATTTTACCATTAATTTGTTTTCTTTGTATTAAAACTACACACAGCATATAAGTTTCTTCCATAAAATCAGTATATATTAATGATCAGCAATCAATCTTATAACAGGGCACAGTAAATGTTAAAATGGTAGAGTGGCTGTAACATCACAGAAATTATTTGATGGACTATCATAATACAAACGATAGCATTTAGTTTCAAATCAGGTTATTAAAGAATCTATTCTTAGCATTTTCAAGAGTCACAAACCAAAAGCAGATGTCAAAACAATAACAAGTCCTACAAAGCAAACACAAAAGAAAGGAGACTGTTACATAAACAGGTTTTGTATTAGGCTGTGGAACAGTGGTCCCCTTTCCATTTATACTTTAATTTTTACTTTCTGTTAAAACATGAAATTCTTTGTAAGAATTATGAAGATAACTACAAAGCTTACACTTTCTTGGCACAGCCCTGTTATCTGCATCCCTGTTATCTATGAGTCCTGAATAAATAATGGGGACAATATGGGAACTAAAAAAAAAGCAACTCATAGTTACTAGCAATTTTTGTTATGAGCAAGAAACTTTAATGATCAAATTTTTTAAATCATTTGTAGACATGCTTAAGTCAAAACCTAAGTCGAGAGAATCAAACAGAATAGTTTAATGGATCTGAAATAATATTTAGCCAAGAACTGAGAATACAGTCTACAACAATAGTGCTTTATAAAAGAAGACAAAATGAAGACTTATTCAACTATTTCAATAATAAAATGGAAATATGTTTTACTTTTAAAAGATGATCAAAATTCTCTGTAAACTGAAAAATTAAGAGGATATGAAAGAATAACATTGCAAATAGAAACTAAAGAACTCAAGGGTGTTCTTTGAACCAGTGTGTGCTCTCAGAGATCATACTGCTTTCAACCCTATTTCATGAACACAAAGAGCTTAAAATAATTTATAAAATTTCAATTTTTTTAAACCAACTAAATTATAAGTTCTCAAAACCTTGTATATACGAAAAATTAGTTTAACATTTTCAGTCCTAAACATAAAAATAAAAACACAGTTTCCTCACTAGAGAACTCAAAAAAAGTCTTACTTGTGAATGTGTCAGTAAAACAAAAACAGTCCATTGTTTGGAGAAAGAATGTTTTTAAGTGTTTAAAAAATAAATGGTCTTTGTATGGCCCTACACATAAATGAAATATAGAAGTAAAGGTATAAAATGATATGGAAAGAAACATTATATTTTAAAAACATTATATTTGAAATCTTTTTGAAAAGGTTTTGAAAGTAACAGTTAAAGTAGTTTAGTAAGTATATCTTTTAAAAAATAAGGATTTTAAATAAAACATTTTCATTTAAACTTACCCAGTGTTCTTGACATCACAGGCAAAGCTGAGCTCAAGACCAAGATTGACACACAATTTCCAATGATCTGTTATGAGAATTTAGAAAGAATATTGGGTAGTTAAACAGTAGGATGACAATGAAACCCAAGAACATTCTGGGAAATTACTGTACATTCTACTTACGTATTGGATTTTGTCAACTTCTTGATGATACTATTCAATATAAAATTTTATGAGAATAGTACACTTTTTCTACAAATATTTAAAGTTATATCTGTAAATTCTAGAAGATATATAGAGCACCTGGTACAAATATAAAACTACAGAACATTTAAATTACTTTATAGCTAGATAATGCATTTCACATTATTGATTATAGTTGCCAATTCCAAAAACCTTTGCCTATCAAGTGAAAAAGAACACATTTGATACTTCTAATTGTATTTTTAAAACCAGATTAATGCTCAAGATTCCTTATATAATACCTACTCCTAATATGTTTATTATAAGATTTAATTTAAAAAGCACCAGAAATCTAAAACATCTAAACTTAAATAATTCCATTTCAATGTATCCTATAATTATTCTTTCATATTAAATAAGCTGAAAATACTGATTAATACTTATGATCACTTATATTAGATACTTAATATCTCAACTACTTATTAACTTAGTAAATTATACCAACATATATGGGTGTGTATGTATACATATGTGTGTATATATACATATATAAATATATAACTTCTCCCCTTTAAATAGGCTAAAAATATAAAATATCTAATAAAAAGGAAACAAGACAGCAGCTTTTACTAGTTATTCTTCTTTGTAGGCCCATGGGACCGAATATTTTACAAAGATTTAGTCACAATATAAGGCAACAGCCTTTATTATTCCAAAGCCAATGACACATTGTGGAAAGTCAAATTAACCTCAGACTACAAAATGTTTCTGAATAGAACTCTTCCTTCTTACTTTAATTATTCAAATTTGAAATACTTTATCTCTACTACTTGTAGCAACTAAGTTCTTCAGATTTCAAACAAGCTCCCTGAAGTACAGTCAGCACAAAGTTACTCATTAGCAATACGTTTTCTTTAGAGGAAAAAGAGTCCTTTCAGGAGCCTTCTATAGATAGTTAACAAGCTCTGCAGTTCTGTGCATTTACAAGTGAATGGACATCATCCAAATTAAACAGAGCACATCCTTTTCCCACTTACTCAGCATTTTGAAAATCTTCCAGTTTGTGTTTACGCAACTTACAAATACCTATCACTGCAAATGAACCATTCAGGATGATTGCTAACAGTCTGTTTGTCTTGGAAGGCAAAAGAGAGGCCACAGTCTAAGATTCTACCACCTTACCTTTGTCATAGTTGTATCATCCTTCTTAGGAGTAAAGTTTCCAAAAAATCGAAGGCTATAGAAACCGACAACAGAGGACACCATAAGATAGCTGAGAGAATCAAGGAAAAATACTCTCCAAAATAATGCAAGTTTCCTAAAGTTCTCAGCAGTCTCTGAAAAGTCTTAAGGCCCAAAGGAAAAAAAACAAAAAGCCACTTTTAAGTACTTGAGGAAGACTACCCTGTTTTTTTTTTTCTTCTAGATAAATGTCTTAGAAAATTACCACCGGCCCAGAAAACTTGTGAACAAACAGAACTTTCAGTTAGAGAAAGGATACAAAATCAAAATGATTTCAAGTGCAGCTCCCACAAAACCAAAAGTAGAAAGAGAGGCATGGCCTATTCCAGGACCCTGGGGGGAGGGGGGAGAGAAACACATTTCAGAATTCAATAGCACCATTATATCCCCAAAATTGTTTTTTTCTTAAATATAAGGCAGTTGAAATTAGAAATATTTAATACTTTCAGATAGACTTTCAAAGGCCAATAAAACAATGACAGGCTAGTTTCATCAGCAAATTCAGGTACAATATTAACAATTTCAATAAGCTTTAAAAAAAAATCTAATTTAGTGCAAATGCAATTTAAGTTACTTGTCAAAATGATATGATTATGCTTACTGAAATAAAATGACAAAACTTGCTACTTAAGAAAAAAAATCCTATCTCAGGGAGAAATTTTTAAAAATACAATAATACAATCAGAATGAAATACATAGCTATATAAACACTGAGGCAACATAAAGATTACACAAAGTATATAAAAATTAAGCTAAGCATAGAAAGATAGTGAATGTGCATATCCTGTTTCCATACTTCAGAGTTTATTTTCCCCAAATCTTTCTTGAAATCAGAGTTACAAAAGATACAACCATTAACAGATTTTTTTTTTTAATGCTATGACTTTTTTTCCTACAATTATACCTATCTTATAAACTATCTTTACTAAGAACTTAAAAAAAACAAAAACAGAAATAGTGATTTTTTTTTTTGGAGTTGGAGTCTCACTCCTTCACCCAGACTGGAGTGCAGTGCCACACATGCTCACGGCCACCCCAAGGTCGACCTGCTGGGCTCCAGCAATCCTTCTGCCTCAGCCTTCCAAGTAGCCGGAACTACAGGTGTCCGCTACCACTCCTGGCTATTTTTAATTTTATTGTAGAGACGAGGTCTTGCCAAGTTGCCCGGGCTGGTCTCAAACCAGCGACCTCAGGCAATCCACTCACCTCAGTCTCCCAAAGTGCTAGGATTACAGGCTGAGCCACCTAGCCCGGCCGAAGTAGTATTTTTATAATGAGATCAGACAGGCAAAAAACCATTCCCTACTGAAGTAGAATATTTTCAGAGATTACTAATTTTAAAAAGTATCTGTATATGAATTACTTACTGATTTACTAGTCAGCTTAAATTACATTTCACAGAAACACTAGGAATAATTAAGAATGTATAACCACATGGAACATACTCTAAGATTGACCACATTCTTGGAAAGAAAGGAAAAAAAAAAGAATGTATAGTCAGTCCAACAAAAAAAAATTTTTTCCCCCAATCTTTTAAAGAAGAAATAAACAATGCTGATAGGAAGTAATAGGGTTCAGGATATACTACCCTAAAGTATAATAACTTGGTATTTATGAAAACCTCCAAAGATCACTCTGCAACAGCCTCCCCCCCACCCTTCTCCTCTTAAGTAGGCCATAAGACCCCTCTTTCAAGAGGTGCCCTCCCTATACTCTGAGGAAAGGAACATCTTTCTCTCAGGAGATACAGGGACACTGAGAAGACCTAAACATACAAGCCGTGCTAAATTATTCCCAATTTATAATCATTAGATTATACCTCCTTTATCCAATCATACTTCCCCACAACTGTCCACTCTTCATTGAACCTAAGCATAAAAATACACAGGTCTCCTTGTTTATTTAATCTTCATTTCTGAAGGTTCCTGTGATATATAAAACTTATCTTACATAAATTTGCCTGCTTTTCTCTTATTAATTTGTCTTTTGTTATATGGGCCTCAGTCATGAACCTTGCAACAGGTGAGGACAAGATATCATTTTTTTCTCCTCTACAAAAGCTTATTGATCAATCTGGAAAATACTTTGGAATTATTCCCTGTCTCAAGAGAAAGTCTATAGGCAGGATTAAGATTATTTGATTTATTTACACCACTATACAGGGAGCTCCTACAACATACAAGCCATCCTCTGCTATACACTAAGCGGGGCAGTACAAAAAATTACCACAGGGCTTGGGACTTACCTTGTTTTTCTTGTATATTAAAATGATTTTTTAAATGAACAGGAAGTCAATACAATAAGTGACTTCCTGCTCTATCAGTGGGTTTGGGAGCATGTTAGTAGGCTTCCACTCTTGGAGAAGAGGCTGTAACTAAATGTGAAAATGGCAATAAAAGATGGCACAAGGTCCTGGAAAGACTGAGGTAAGGAGGATCTGAATAAAAAATAAGGCTAAAGGAATCAGCTTTTGAGAGGATAGGGTATCTTTGTTTCAGACTGAAAGGAAGGTAGATAGATCTTGACTTCTTCTATGAGAGAAGAAAGGCTCTTTGCATTAAAAAAATCATACACCTTGAAACACATACATGCAGAAAGGTGAATATTTGCATTTATTTGAAATACTCAGGGTATACACACAGAATACTTTTGCAAAAGAAAAACATTTTAAAGCATTTTACTTTACCCGTGTTCCCTTTGGCATTGCTGTTTCATCAACCAACAGGCAAAGAATATTACAAGCCACCAAGAGGACTGAGATGGACTACAACATAAAAAGCAAGTCATTAGCTCTTAATTTCTAAGATTTTTTTGTCAATACACAAGTATTAAAATCGAAATAACCAAATGTATGTTTCAAAATTGAGGAAAAGCAGTCAAGACCAAAATTCTATGTATAAAACTAAAGTAATCAGACTATATTAAAAACTCCCAAAGAAACTTTACAAGATTCTGCAAATTATTATAATTTCAAAGATTGTGACAAAAGCTAATAGTACAGATTCTTTTACTGAGTGACCTCATCAGTTAGAAACACACAACTCCACAGACTTAAAAGTATTAAAATATTATCAGAACTAATTTAATAATGTAATTTTCATATTTTATCACAGAGTTTGAAGCAGGGTATCTGCAATACCTTGTGTCTTCTTAATTTTCAATGAAACAAAAGACTGAATGTCCTGCTTAATTTTCAATGAAACAAAAGACTGAATTTCATGAGGAAACATAATCTTCAGAATTTAAAAAAAAATTGTCGTTCATTTCCACTTTTGCTCTATTGAGTTTTTACAAATAAAAGCATAGATGAATTTTAATCCTGTTGATAGAAAGCCAGTATACTAGAAACCATTTAGCTGAGGGAACTGCCATACTCAAATGCTAAAGTAAATAAAATATAATTTGCTTTTATTTAACTAGGCAAATAAATTCTCACTGTTTCAATAAGAAGGAGAATCATAACAGCAGGATACACCAAATTTCTTTCCCATGCTGAAGCCTTTTTTCTTCTCTCTATTAGAAAGAACAAAATAAAATGAAAGATTTCAGTAATTTCCAAAAGTTTTCTCCAAATTTACATTTTCATTTCATGATGCTACAATTCATATACATTATTTTTATATGAGTAATTTATTTTTGAAGAATATAAATTACTTTTAATTTTTCTCCACAAACTATAAAAATCAGAGTTTTTAAACCAGTTTGCCACACTAAACAATTCAATCCTATGATGCCTAAATTTCCACTCTGTAAAGACATCTCAATTGTTAAGGAAATACATTGCTAAGATACAGCTTACTTTGAAAATATAGAAAGACAGTAGGCCCTCCATATGTGAGGGTTCCACAGTGGTTTTCAATCACCCATGGATTCAATTATCCATGGGGGGGGAGGGTGTTCTGAAACCAGTCTCCCACAGATATGGAGGGCCTATTGTATTTGTATTTGATATAGATATATACATTGATAAAGATCAGAAAAAATAAAGTAACATGAATAAAAACCCCTTCTAGTCATATCCCAAAGATAAACACTCCTAATGGCTCTAAAAAAACTTCCACTTTTACCTACAATGGACTACCTTATATCAACACCAATCCTCATGCTAAGAACAAGTGGAGCCAAAACAATCCTAAGAAAAATGGTGGAGGCATCACATTACCTGATTTAAACTACACTACAAGGCTACAGTAACTAAAACAGCATGGTACTGGTATAAGCACAGACATATGCAGCAATGGAACATAATAGAGAATCCAGAAATAAATCCAAATATAACCAACTGATCTGTGACAAAACAGGCAAAAACATAAACTAGGAAAAGGACACTCTATTCAACAAATAGTGCTGGGAAAACTGAATAGCTATATGCAGAAAAATGAAACTTGATCCCTATGTCTCACCATATGCAAAAATTAACTCACAATGGATTAAAGACTTAAATGTCAGACCTCATACAATAAAAATTCTAGAAGAAAACCTAGGAAAAACTCTTCTGGACACTGGCCTAGGGAAATAATTTACGGCTAAATCCCCAAAAGCAAATGCAAGCAAAACAAAAATAAATAAGTGGGACTTGCCGGGCTCAGCCTGTAATCCCGCACCTTGGGAGGCTGAGGTAAGCAGACTGCCTGAGCCTGCGGGTTCAAGACCCGCCGGGGCCACTTGGCGAGACCTCATCTCTACAATAAATCAAAAAAATTAGCCGGGCGTCATAGCGCGTGCCTGTAGTTCCAGCTACTTGGAAGGCTAAGGCGGAAGGATCGCTGGAGCCCAGCAGGTCGAGGCTGTGGTGGCCAAGAGCGGCCACGCACTCCAGTCTGGGCAGCAGAGTTAGACTCCAACTCAAAAAATAAAATAAGTGGAACTTAATTAAGCTAGAAAGCTTCTGCACAGTAAAAGAAATAATCAACAAAGTAAATAGACAACTTATAGTATGAGGGAAAATATTCACAAATTATACATCCGACAAAGGACTAATATCCAAAATCTATAAAAAACTCAAACAAATCAGCAAGCAAAAAAGCAAATGACCCCATTAAAAAGTAGACAAATGAGGTATCTCTCAAAAGAAGATATACAAATGGCCAAAAAGCATGTGAAAAAATGCTCAACATCACTAATCATGAGGGAAATGCAAATTAAAACCATCAAGAGATACTACTTTGTATCAGTCAGAATGGCCATTTTTTCCAAAATAAAATAATAATAATAATATAATAGAAGCTGGTGCAGGTGCAGTGAAAAGAGAACATATACACTTTTGGTAAGAGTGTAAATTAGTACAACCTCTATGGAAACAGGCATGGAGATTTCTCAGAGAACTAAAAGTAGATCTACCATTTGATCCAGCAATCCTACTACTAGGTATTTACCCAAAGGAACAGAAATCGTGATATAAAAAATAAGACACCTGCACAAAACACAAAACAGCACAAAACACAACTGCAAGGATGTGAATCAACCTAAATGTCCATCAACTGATCAATGGATAATGAAAATGTATTTCACATACACACACACACACACCATAGAATATTATTCAGCTATATATATATATTTTAAATGAAACAATGTATTTTGCAGCAACTTGGAAGGAATTGGAAAACATCATCCTCACTGACCTAAAACAGGAATAGAAAACCAAACACTGCATGTTCTCACTTGTAAGAGGGAGCTAAACTAAGAATCAAAAAATACATATAGAATGGTATAATAGACACTGGAGACTCAGAAGGGAGAGGATGGGAAGTAGTGGAGAAATAAAATATCAAGGGGAGGGTAGAAAGGATTAGAAGGATGAAATAAAACCTACAGGGTACAATATCCACAGGTGGGGAGGGTGGGTACACTCAAAGCCAAGACTTCTTTGCCACTATATAATGCAGCCATATAGCCAGAAACTTTTTGTACTCCCTAAAGCTACTGAAATACTAAGAAAAAAAAGGTGAGGAGGAAAAGACTAAAGCCAAAACAAAAACTCCCAATCACAGATCAAAACAGTAATTGTCTATTTCCCAGTGAAGTTTTCATTTATCATCCATGAAATAAGAAAAACCAAAGAAATGTAGGAAGTTTTCCATGAATTCAAAGTGTTGTCATTTATTTTGAATTACATCCTTTCTATTGGTGGGAACAGGATGTGAAAAGTTGGTCTTATGACTTGATAATGTTAGTGGATAAGACCTGGAAAAGAAACTAGGCAATGTCAACATAAAATATGTGACAGAAGTTATCTTGCCACCTCCCCAAATAAGGTGAAAACAAAAAATCAAACTTATTTTTAAAAAATCAGTATGAACATATCAGAGAGCTACTCAGAAAATGAAAATTGAGGAGCGAATATTCTGTGAAGTGAACTGAGGTGAACCCTCCAATTTGTACTACCTTTCTCTGCAAGGCAATTTCCAACAAATTATGGCATGGGCCCAAGAGGTTGAGAAATCAATGAGTAAAAGGCAACAATCCAAAGCAAGGTTTCAGCAAACTCAGTAGAGCCAGGAAGAAGACAAACATTGGAGTTTGGGACTCCCAAGGCAGTCAATATTTGAGAGGCTGTGATCACAGAGAAAAGAAAAGGGCAAAGAAATGAACATGGCATGCAGTGCCACTTTCCCTTTGAGGCATCAGTGGCAAAGGGGCTGAGAATAGAAAGATGCAGTGAAGAGGCTGGGAAGTCAAGCAAAACTTCTGTCAGGTTCATGTTTTTTGAGAGGTAAAAACCAGAGTTTATTAAGAAAATGAGGTCAGAGTCACAAACAAAACAGCCAGAATTTCAATTAAGACTAATGAAAAGCTATATGCCCTAGGACTAATGTCAAACTGAAAACAGACCATGCCTTGTAAAGACTCAAATGATCTCAAGCCCAGATGGAGTAAATTGATATGTCCCTACTCTAATTGTTTACCAGAAGCAAAAGTAAACCCTTTCAAAAAGAAAAAAATATCATACAGAGTTTCTATGATTTTGTATAACAAATATCTGGCATTCAGTTAAACATTACCAAGATATAGGATAAAGAGCAAGAAAAGACAATAGAAACAGACCTCCAGTTGATCTACACATTGGACTTATCAGAAAGAGGCCTTAAAATAAATGATATGTTCAATGAAATAAGTGACAAAATGGTAAATTTCATAAGCATAATAAATCAAATTAAATAAAAAATAATCAAATAGAAATTCTAGAACTGAAAAACATTATAACTAAAATAAAAAATTCAACAGACAGTTTTGGCAAAAGTTATGACACAGCTGAAAAGACAGCAAAATGAAATATAAACCAGCAGAAAATATCACAGACTGAAACATGAAGATAAAAAAAGAAATACAGAAAATAATATAAGAGTGAAAAAGTCTAATGTATGTGTAACTGCAGCCTGATGAAATAAAAGAGAATGAAGCAGAAGCAATATTTGATAATATAATGGTCAATCATTTTCCCAAATGGATGAAAGACATCAAGCCATAAAGTCATGAAGTGATACAGATTTCAACAAGGATAAACACAAAGAAAATCAAATCTAAGCACATCAAAGTAAAACTGCTAAAGAAAGACAAAAGGACAATTTTTAAAGCCCTTCAAAAAAGCAGCAATATGACTCTTAAACCAGAAGCCAGAAGACAATGAAATAACGTCTTTTGTTGAAAGTTACCAAATAAGTCGGGCACAGTGGCTCAAGTCTGTAATCCCAGCACTTTGGGAGGCAGAGGCGAGAGGATTGCCTGAGTCCAGGGGTTCGAGACCCGTCTGGGTAACTTAGCGAGACCTCATCTCTACAATAAATCAAAAAATTAGCCGGGCGTGGTAGGGTGTACCTGTAGTTCTGGCTACTCAGAAGGCTGAGGTGGAAGGATTGCCTGAGCCCAGCAGGCTGAGGCTGCGGTGGCTGTGAGTGTGCTACTGCACTCCAGTCTGGGTGAAAGAGTAAGATTCCAACTCAAAAAAAAAAGGAATTTACCAAATAAATTCTAAATATGTTTTCAGACAAATAAAAACTGAAACAATCTACTGTCAGCAAACCTGCATTAAATGAAATACTAATGGGTACTTTTTAAGCAGAAACTAAATGAGTACTGGCAACATAATAATGGAAACATAAATCAGGAACACACATACATATCAGAATACCAGTGAAACACCATTTCATATCCACTAATCGGTAAACATTTAAAAGTCCAACGCTGTCAAGTGTTGGCAAAGACATGAAGCAACAGGAATCCTACCCATGCCTAGCAGGAATGCAAAATAATACAACTACCTGGTAAGGAAATCATCTGGTATTATCTACAAAAGTTGTACAGGCACATACACAATAGTCATATAATTCCATTTTTTACTATGTACTCTGAAAACAAAAAAAAACACCAAGAGGTATGTACAAGAATATTTATAACAACAGTATGAATAGTGAAAAACCAGAAACAGATCTAATATCTACCAAGGGTAGGATGCCTGAGGTAACTTTAGATAATATTATTAACAGAAATGAAAATAAACAACATATTTGACTTTTAAGAATATAATACTGAACTTCCACCTCTGAAGATACAGCAACAACAGAAACCAGATTTACCATTCAGCATGAAACACTTAAGAAATCAAAAAATACACATATATGAAACAACAGTTTTCAAGTCATTGGAACTCTGATCAATGAAAGACCAATAATCTCTTAAAGATGAGAATCAAACAACATGATCCCTATTTGACCCAGCTTATTGTCTTGAAAGAGTTTCTAGGCCATGGTGTAGGGAGGAGGAACCCAAGCTCATTCCTTGAGTTGAGGACATGAAGTGGGAGTCTAGGGAGACCAAGTCAGCTGGAGTTTGCAGAGCAAAGTGCCAGAAAAAAGACTTACAACACAAAAAAAGAATTACAAGGAGCTGCAAAGGGTCTCCCTTAACTGTTCAGCAGAGTAATGATTAGCTCAGGCACATGAGGAAACAACCCATGATTGAAGAAAGAAATCACACCAGAATATGAGAGGGAACAGTACTCACCAACACAAAGGGCCACAACAGTGCCTGCTCCACAAGACAGTACAGAACCTCATAAATCACAGACATTGGATAGAATTCATAGATGATCCTTAGGAACGAGGAATAATTAGCCCTTGATGTGATGATACTGCAATCAAGCCTAACAAATCTTCAAAGCAAGACAATAATACCAAACTATTTCCAAGTAACTTAGCTGCATCTCAGAACAAAATTCCTAACTTATAGTTATACTGTAAGTGAGGCACCCAACAAGGTAAAATTCACAATGTTTATTTTCTAATAAAAAATTGCTAGGCATGCAAAGAAGGACAAAAATACAAATGATAATGATAAAAATCAATAGAAACATATCAAGAACTAATGCAAATGTTAGAATTAGCAGCGAAAACATTAGAAATGTTGTCATAACTTTATTCCCTGTTTTTTAAAAAAAGTAAGGACAGAGATTGAACATGTTAATTAGAGACAAGGAAGATATAAAACAGGTCCAAATAGAACTTCTGCAGAGTCGGAGAAAAAAAAAAAACCACTAGATGGGACTAAAGGCAGATTAGACATGCAGAAGAAAAGACTAGTGAAAATGAAGACACAGCAAAAGAAACTATCCAAAATGAAACACAGAAAGAAAAAAGACTAAAAAATAAAGGAACATCCTTGAGCTATCTATGGTCTAATATACATGTAACTAGAGTCCTTTAAAAAGGCACAGAGGAAAAAAGATATCTGGGAAATTAATGGTAAAAAAAATTTCCAAATTAGATAAAAACTGTAAATTCCCAGATCTAAGAGACTCACTCAATGAACTCAAAGAACAAGAAACATGAAGAACACTATACTTTTTTTTTTTTTTTAGTTGGAGTCTCACACTGTCACCTAGACTGACCTGCTAGGCTCCGGCGATCCTTCCACCTCAGCCTTCCAAGCAGCTGAAATTACAGGTGTGCGCTACCGCGCTGGGCTAATTTTTTGATTTATTGTAGAGATGAGGTCTCACCAAGTTGCCCAGGCGGGTCTCGAACCTGCGGGCTCAGGTAATCCACTCACCTCAGCCTCCCAAGCGCAGGATTACAGGCTGAGCCACCGAGCCCGGCTGAAGAAAACTATTCTAATGCATACCACAATCAAACTGATCAAAATCAGCAACAAAGAAGACATCTTTTTGTTTGTTTTTTGAGTCTGAGTCTCACTCTCAGTCAGGATGGAGTGCAGTGGCACACTTAGGGCCACCACAGTCTCGACCTGCTGGGCTCAGGCAACCCTTCCGCCTCAACCTTCCAAGCTGGAACTACAGGCACGTGCCACCATGCCTGGCTAATGTTTTGATTTATTGTAGAGATGAGGTCTTGCCAAGTTGCCCAGGGTTGGTCTCAAAACCCTGGGCTCAGGCAATCCTCTTGCCTCAGCCCACCAAAGAGCTGGGATTACAGGCTTGAGTCACCGCGCCTGGCCTAAGAAGACATCTTAAAAGCAGATATGGAAAAAAACACATTAAAACACATTAAAATAAAAGTAGGACAGATTACTTGTCAGAAATAATGCAAGTGAAAGGACAGTAGAGCAACATTTTTAACATCAATATCTTTGAAAAGTCATTTTGTATATATACAAAGTAAAAGGCAAATAAATATATACTTATCCTTTCCTAAAACTAAAAGACAGTCTTTTATGAATGATTTTGGACAGTTTGGAAGTTTTTAACACACTAATGATTTCATACATTATCTAATATTTCACACTACCATACATTCTTTAATAAGAAACCAAGATCAATATACAAGCCAAGAAAAAAAAAGTACAATACCTAATTTTGTCTTAAGAGTCTTTACATTTTCAAGTTCTTGTTCCAACTCCATCATGTTATATTCCACCGATGAAGATATCCCTATCCAAAGCAAAAATATTTAGAAGTATAACAATAAAATTCCTAACACTACAGAACATAATTAAAACATGAAATAACATATGGAAAATCCTGATAACTGGAAATTTTTAAAATATGCTGCTCTGATTCATAGAAAATACGTCCAAATCTTTGCCACTTAAAATTTACAAGTTCTCACTGATTAAACACTACATGATTCCTAGAAAATTTCTTACCTTGGTAAAATTCTTCTCTGATCTATTATTAAGCTTGTCTTAATTACAAAAACATCAAGTGTTTACTGCAGAAAGCGAAAAAACTAAAGACCTCTTTTATCATCTCACTTCCCTAAAGTGACAATTGTTGGCAACTTAGCTGATGCTTCCATACTTTCCTTCATATTCATAAACACATTTATACATATATATCATACATATGGTTTTGATTATATATTTTATACTAATGAGGTCAAATCAGACATACTACCATTTTGTTTTTCTAGTTAATATGTCCTAGTTGAAAGACAGCTGAATAATATTCCATGGAATGGATGTACTGCAATTTAATTCAGAATTATTCCATTTATTCAGATTTTCCTCAATTTTTTTGCCACTGCAAATGATGTTGCAAAAACATTCTCATATGCACATTTAGCACATTTGGTTCTAATTATTTTTGTAAGATAGATCCCCAAAATTCAGATTGCTTTTAAGAGATATTTAAAGATTACTTTCTCCAAAATATTATAATAATTTAAACTATTTTAATAATTTACATTCTCATCAATAGCTTTGAAAGTACCTATTTTCCAATAATTTCTCTACCACTCTATGTCTTGAATTTTTACCAATGTGATAGGTGAAAAATGTTTTTATATTTGTTTGTTTTTGGTTTTGCCACCGCAGCCTCCATCTGCTGGGCTCAAGGGATCCCTCCACCTCAGCCTTCCAAGTAGCTGGAACCACAGGCATGCACCACCATGCCCACTAATTTTTTGATTTATTGTAGAGATGAGGTCTCGCCAAGTTGCCAGATTGGTCTTAAACCCCTTAGTTTGGGCAATCCACTCACCTCCGCCACTACACCTGGCTGAAAAATGTTTTCTTATTGTTACTTTAACATGCATTTCCCCAAATGTGGTTGAACATATTTTCATATATTCAATTTATCATGTGAATTTTCTGCTTGTTTATCTCTATATTCTTTATATTTTATCTATTAAATTCTAAAACAGAGAAATTAAAATCCCCCCTACAACTGCACTTTAATTAGGTTCTTTCCATTTTTAAGAGTATTTTTTTTCATTATGCATTTATATTTGGCTGCGGAGTTGGGGGGATTGTTTGTAGGGCTTTCTGCCTTCTAAGACTGTTACATCTAAGAGAATCATATCTCTTATCATTTAATAATAAATCAAAAAATTAGCCGGGTGTGGTAGCACTCACCAGTAGTTCCAGCTACTTAGAAGGCTGAGGCGGAAGGATCGCTGGAGCCCAGCAGGTCGAGGCTGCGGTGGCCGGCAGCGGCCACTGCACTCCAGTCTGGGCGACAGAGTGAGACTCCAACTCAAAAATAATAATAATAATAATAATAGCCCTGTTTGTCTTTAATGCTTTCAACTTAAATTCTGTTTTGAGGGCTTTACATTCTACTTTCTTTTTGTTTTTACCTGTCTTGCTTGCTAGCATACATACATACATACATATATATATATATATATATATATACATGCATACGTATACACACCTATTAAAAAATTAACCTTTCTTTTTTTTTCTATTACAGAGCTGAATCTTATTTGAGGTTTAACTTTTCTCAGAGTTTATTGGTTATAAGCAACTGAAATTGACTCAGTCAAAATGTAAAAGGAATTCATGAGATAGAACCAGTAGAAAAACTTTCCAGTAAGGAAGGCAGAGGAAACAAGGCAGCTGGAGTTTTAGGTAGCAGAAACAGATAGATACATAGTCTCCTCATATTGTCACAGCTGGGATGATTCAGTCCCAAGAATTTTCAGTCTGTATACCACTATGATCAAGAATAAAATTCTAGAGAGCAAGCATCCTAATGACACAGTCACATATCAGTTCATTGAAGAGGAAGAGAACTTTGACAAGCAGTTCCACAGATATTATCTAATGGGGAAAACAGCAAATCCAAATCAGGTGATTTACTGAAAGAAAGGTTAATAGGTATTTATAGCAAAAACTGATAAAAATGGGTTGAATAACCCAAACTGGCAGGCTCTGTAACAGTCAAATTTAGTCCATTTACATTTAGTAAAATATAGTATTGCACTTGCATTCAGTATAATTTAGTGTAGTAGTTGATAAACTTCAGTTTACCTCTCCTACAATACTTGTCTTAATTTTAAGTGTTTTTTTTTTTTTTTTTTTTGAGTCAGATTCTCACTCTGTTGCCCAGGTTGGAGTGGGTAAGTGGCACGTTCATGGTCACCACAGCCTCGACCTGCTGGGTTCAGGCAATCCTTCCACTTCAGCCCTCCAAGTAGTTGGAACCACAGGCCCACACCACCACACCTGGCTAATTTTCTGATTTATTGTAGAGATGAGGTCTCACCAAGTTGCCCAGGTTGGTCTCAAACCCCTGGACTCAGGCAATCCTCTCACCTCCCCTTCCCAAAGTGCTGGGATTACAGGCATGAGCCACTGCGCCTGGCTTTTAAGTGATTTTTTTTTAAGTTTTATCTTTATCAAAATGCACATTGTTCAAAGTATCACACGCTTGCCTGGGTTTGGTATCATGCCTCCTCCCTCCTAATTTCACTCTCCCAAAGACAGTTGTTTATCGGATTCTTTTGTCATTTGTCTTCCTATTGTAATTTCTTGATTTCCAGTGTTAAGCATTCCCTATACCCTTCCCACCATGGCAGAAGAGGTTTCAAGTGCCTGAGTCACACATTTTCACTCCTTCCTTTCTCCCAGTGTGACCATAATGGTAATTTTGGCTAACCCTTCAATGTCCACATTACTGTAACAACAGAGATGCTATCTACTGCTTACTCATGTAGTAAACTGTAACCAGTTTTCCTTCCTTACTTAACGTTCTTCCCACCCCCAGAATTAGCTATCGTTTCTTTTTCATTTACTTAGTTTTCTATGTGCTTAAAACTAATTCAACGCCAAACTGTTCTCTCAAATGTCTTCATTTCCTCTTGGTTTTTACATTCCTCAGTTATACTATGAATTTCATTTTTCTTGAAGAAATTTCTCTTGGAGTCTTTAAACCTGCCCACTCTGGACTGACTGTTCCCTGTGCTTCCTGCACGCTGTCACCATGGGTCAGCCCTGCCCTCATCTTCTGTGGAGTACCTCTTAGTTCCAATGCAGCCCCTGACTTTTCTTGATTTACTCTCTTCTTTGGGTTGTGCATATCCTCCAGTGGATTGCTTAGAAAAGGTGAATGAGAGGTAACTTCTTTAAGATTATACAAAGTTGAGCCAGGCTCAGAGGCTCAGCCTGTAATCCGCGCCTTTGGGAGGCTGAGGTGAGTGGACTGCCTGAGCCTGCAGGTTCGAGACCCGCCTGGGCAACTTGGTAAGACCTCATATCTACAATAAATCAAAAAATTAGCTGGGCATGGTAGTGCGCACCTGTAGTTCCAGCTACTTGGAAGGCTGAGGTGGAAGGATCGCCGGAGCCCAGCAGGTCGAGGCTGTGGTGGCCGGAAGTGGCCACTGCACTCCAGTCTGGGTGACAGAGTGAGACTCCAACTCAAAAAAAAAAGATTATACAAATTTGAATTTTCCTTTTGCTCTTATACTTTGGTTAAACATAAAAATCTAGGTCAAACTAATTTTCCTTCAGAATTTTGAAGGCATTTCTTCATTGTCTTCCAGTCCCTAGCACTGTTTTTAAGAAGTTTGAAGCTATTCTATATTCTGGTCTCTTTGAATGTGAACTGCTTTTTCATTTCTCTTTGAAACCCAATAGGATCTGTCCCCAGCGCTCTTGCTGAGAGTCCATTTCCATGTATTGTGTTGGATACTAGGTGAGCCCAGCCAATTTCCAAATTTATGTCTTTTAGATCTGAGAAATCCTCTTGATCTTGTCATTTCCTCTGTCACATTTTTTCGCTTCCAGTTGGAATTTCTACTAGATGGATGTTGAATTTCCTGAGCTGGTTCTCTAATATTTTCTCCCATTTTCCCTATTTTTGTCATTTTGACTTGTTTTCTGAAAAAATTACTTTTTTTTTTTTTGAGTCAGTATCTCGCTGTGTCACCAAGGCTGCAGTGCAGCAGCACGCTCACAGCCACTGCAACCATGACCTGCTAAGCTCAGGCAATCCTTCCGTCTCAGTCTTCCAAGTAGCTGGAACCACTGACATGTGCCACTCCGCCCAGCTAATTTTTTAATTTATTGTAGAGACAAGATATTGCCCTGTTGCTCAGTCCAGTCTTGAACCCCTGAGCTCAAACAATTCTCTCACCTCCACCTCCCAAAGGGCTGGGATTACAGGCTTGAGCCACCGCACTTGGCTATGTTATTATTTCTAAATTTAAATAATCTCTTTCTGCACACCAGATATCCTATTTTTATGGAATCCTAGTACTTCTCATAAATGCAACCTCCATCTCTCTCAGGATGCTGACAAATTTGTTTTGAGACATTCTTCTGTGTGTATCCTATCTCCAAGTGCTCCTGTTTATTTCACATGGGAGGCTTTTCTCAGATTCTGGTGAGTCTTGGTTGTTCGTTCATATTTAAGAATGAAGCACTAAAAATGCTTATTGGAAACCCAAGACTGCATGGGTGGGGCTTGACAACAATGAGATTTCCTGTAGAATAATATAGCTGGATTCTTCATTGAGGATACCTCATTGATAGATCTGTACGGCTTTACACTTAGGCTGGATAGATTCCCCAGCTAATCTTCTTGCAGGATGAAATCCTAGTTGTCCAGGTGAAGGAAAATAGAAGCCTATGCATTTAATCTGTAAGTGCTCACTTGTTAGTTCACTACTCCCACCCTTCAATGCATCCAGCAGGAGTGGGAAA